AGCTCCCCCTTCTTAAGCTATAGGTTTCTATAGAATTCAATACTCATTAGTTTGTTTAAAATTACATAGAGATATGATTAATTTGATAAACAAGTGAAGGATTAGTTTGACTTGAAAAAGCTGGTTAATTAATTGAGGGAAATCCTCCATCTCATGCTATAACATTATTATTTGAACTTGAATTAAATTAATTAAACGATTGCATAATTCAGAATTAAATGAAATTTGAGCCCTAGTTCCTTCCCATTCATAGTTTCTTTAACTTAGAAAATTCCTTTAGTTTAATTAGTTTTAGTTAAGCAGTTCAACTCTATTTCATTAAGTAGTTAATTCAACTTAGGTTAGATTAATATCATCTTGGTAGTGTAGAATAGTCTTTGAGGAAACAATATCTTACTCATCTTATATTGCATAATCGATTATATTCACTTGCCTAAGAGTAGTGCGTATTTGGTACATCATACTGCTTGCAGCCCAAACGGCTAAAAGGCATTGTTTTGCACGTTAGGCTATGGGCAATGTTAAGACATTGTATAGGAGGTATATATCTCTGTTGGTTGCTGTTAAACTACTCAGTGGCACAAAATGCTACCTCTATATGATCTTATGGTTTAGGGATGCCTCCAATAGGATTCTTTTCCTACTATTTATTGAACTACATCTGGCCAACACCAAGAACATTATTTTGAGCATTAAGTACTTGCTACACCATCTGTAGTTGATTAATATGACCTCAAGTAAAGGATTTAGAAAATTTTGCTATGGTAGTTCTACTACTAAAGGTATGGGTTACCTTAGAACATTTTGCTATTATCGAACCTATTCCATGGTTCTCTCAGAGACTGTAGTGAGAGTTTTGTGACTTTTTGCCTCTTCTTCTTGGACAACTCAAGAATTTTCATTAATGGCCCTTTCAATAATGTTCACATATTAAGTGAAAAAATCTTATTGTTGTTGTTGGGCCACTCAAAAGCTTTCTAGACCAAGCTTTATGCTTTGATTGTCTTTTTCTGACAGTTTTTTTATCTGTTGAAGTTCTAGAGATTTTGCTGCTTAACTCAACATAATCACCTTTCTCTTTGTCATCCTTGCCGTATATGAGGTTGTCATACAAGTGATCAACAAAGGGAGAAATGGGAGGAAAATGCTTTAGATTATTTTCAACTTCAAAATGCCTTGAGACTCACAAAGGTGATTTCCACTTGCTATGCAACCTTTTTTCCAACTCTTTTAGGCATGATTATGGTTGCTTTATGCTTAGGAAAAGCAAAAAAGGGATAAAAAAAACTTTTCTTGATACACAAGTACCAGTAGGAGGTCACACCAGGCATGCCACTAAAAGATTATTATCCCAAAAAATCTCCTTGACATGTGGCATGTGAAATGACATGCCACTTGTTTTGCTCAAAACAAGAAAGATTTTTCCAACGACCCTCTTTTCTTTCCAAGCAAAGAACTCATTTGTGAGTTGATGGAAGAATATCATAGACTACACCTTAATGATCGAACAATTGGCAAAAATGAGGGATGGACTTCTTGCACTAAATGGGTTAAACGACAAACTACCTTGGACATGTCTCCAAGGACTCCTCCGAATGAATATAATCAAGAAATGCTAAGACTACAAGAAAAGCAATTAATTGCCAAGCTATTGAAAATCAGAATGAATTTTAAACATGTAGACTGCGTCAAATTAAAATTTTCCAAAGGAAATCTAGATATAGAAAAACAAATTAAGCTAAAGTAAATAGAGTTGGAAACATGGAAAACTTTATTGACAACATGAAATATAAATCAACAAGAACAAGATAGAATATGAGATTAAATATCGACATCACTTGATTAAATCAAAAGAACTTAGGAAGAAAAAAGGGGAAAGGAAGCAATCCAATTACAAAGAACTATTACTAAAGGCAGCAAATCTTTCCATTACAAAACCAACAAAAGGGGAACTAAATGGCTTCTTTAAAGAACTGTAACTAATTTTTGGAATGTTGAAAGGAAAACACATTAAACTAAGGTTGAAGACTAATTTAGGCTAAATCATAAAGCTAAAACTAAACTAAAGGACTTGAAACTTAGATGAAGTTGAGCATTAAAAGAAATAGTGTTGAGCTTGTTGTGTGAAAGGCAAGTCTCTCTTTACTTGATTTCATCTTCGTGTATTTATAATAGTAAACAACCCTTGGCAACATGTTGGAGATTTGTGGTAGCATCTTGAAAACCAACAATAGCATGAAATCTACAACAAATCGATTAACTTGTTAGTGCTGTTGATTATGTTCCTGAAAATTTGCAACAAGTAAACAACTTTATCATGATGTTCTGGAAACAAGCACTAAACCTTATTCGAGAAAGATCTACATCAACAAAACAACTTTTCAATAAATAAAATACCTGCCAACATGGATGACATATGGCACCATTTTATTTATTGCAAAATTAGGTGTAAACAAAGCCTTATTTCATGACCCTAACTAGGGGAACCCTACACAAATATGAAGAAAGAGAGTGCAATTATAACAAAAAGGATGAAATAGTTGAATGAGTTTGGATTGAGAATCATATAAAAGGCTAAAGATATATAGATTATAGAGAACCTTTTTGTATATTTTGTTATACAATTTTTACATGTTATTAAACAAATAAATACATATAATATTATAGTCTTAATTGAATAAGAAGAGTTAATTATTTAAAAACACCATAAGATTATACATAAAAATTATATTTGAATTATTTCCTTTAATCAAAATGATAATTACATACCCTCTATGTTCAACTGTATTAGTCGTTTTAGTCTTTTGCACTAGAATTAAGAAAATAATTAATTATTCTTAAGTCCAGTGTTAAATAACATAAAGATACCATCTTATCCTTTTAGTACTTATTTGGTCCTACTCGTTATTTCTCTTATCACTTTTCTCAATTTATCTTTCATTTACTATTTTGTTGGTGAAAAAAATTCATCTGCAAGTCATTTTCATTCCAATCCCATTATGTTTCTAATTAGCCAAAATTTTCATTATAATTTTATTTTTTCAGTTTTGTTCCTACCAAAAATTGTCTATAAAATTTGACTTGAAGCTATTGAGAAAAGATGGGGTTTCACAGTTGTACATATACAAGCTATTTGATGGTGATTCGAAGGAGTGGACAATGGGGCAAAAATTGGGGGGATTTTATAGAAAAACATGACCAAAAGTAAAAGGTTGACTATTCTAGAGCAAGGGATGCAAAGACAAGAAATTTTGTGGCTCTACTGGTTTTCTTTCTAGTGGTAATCCTCAGTTGTGATCTTCTTTCTAGTGGTGGCATTTCTCTTTGAAGTTCATGGGTTTTGATTGAACTAATTTTGTTGATTGTGGTGTTTCTATGTTGGTTCTTCTAAATGGTGACTAACATTTGAAGTTTCTTGAATAAGTGGTTTTTGTAGTGAAACACTCTTTTAAATGATAGTTTAGGGGACTTCAATCTTTTACTGGTTCCAATGCTGAATTACTGAGTTTTTTATTTTTTTATTTTTTTATATTTGTTGATTATGTATTGAAAAGTTTTTTAGAATTCTCAAGCAAGAAGACAAAATAGAGATAGGTCTAAAAAGACTTAAGCCTATAACATGCTCTTTGTGAGTTGATATTTAATTTATGCCAATTAATTTTCTTGTTTAGTAATTTAGATTAATTTTGTAAATTAGTTTAGTTTATAATTGATTAAATCGTATTTTATTTAATTTAAAAATCATTAGATAAAATTAGAATTAACATAATATTAATACTTAATAAGAGTTTTTTTTTTTTTTAGTTTTTAATCTTTGTGAGTTGATATTTAATTTATTATTATACTAGTTCTTTTTTTTAGCCCGTGCTTTGCACGGGATTATTTTATGTTTTTTATATTATTTGTTTAATTTCATAATAATTTTTAATCAAAAAATTCTAAATTGATTTAACTATTAAGAAATT